ACTTTCATACAATATCTTGTTTTTTAAAATGTAGAAGGAACTAAAATTGGCTAAATGGAGTTGGAGTTTCCTATAGAAAGCTTGAGTTGAGGGCCAGGGCAGAGGAAGCACAAGATGAATCTGGAACATCTTATTTTCCCAGAAAGTAAAGAAGTTCTACAAGAATGGGGATCTATCAGGACTGATAAGGGAGCAGCTTACAGGGTTTTCCCAAATATAAGACTTTCTACAAAATCACTTTCTTCTATTTAAAAAAAAATTGTATCAAAGACAAGAACGCCAGAAAGGCCAAGAAAGACAGAAAGATAGAAAAGCTGACAGAAAGTCTATTTCAGATTAAAGGATATGAAAGAAGCATAGTAACTAAATGCTGTGCATTATCCTGGATTGGTTCTTAGGTGACAAAAGTACAAACAAGCCAAAAACTTTGTAAAGGGCATATTTGGGACAACTGACAAAAATGAATGCATACTGTAGATTAGATAATTGCTTTGCATTAATGTTCAATTCCCATGATTTTCTGTGATTATGTAAGAAAATATCTTTGTTCTTAGTAAAAACACATTGAAATATTTAATGGTGAAAGGGCACAATGTCGAACCTATAATGGTTGAGAAAAAAATTTCTCCCGATTGGAGAGAAACAGTAAGAAAGATTTTACAGCATAAAATTTAAACAACTGGTGAGTCTGGGTGAAGTTATAAAAGAGTTCTCTGTACTATTAGTGGCAATTTTTGTGCATATTTTGAAAATATATCAATATAAAAACATTTGTAGAATAAATGTGTTGAATATCTCTTGACTTTCAAAGCAAGACTTAGACTCGTCTTTCAAGGACCTTTCCTGGGCAGGAATAGCAGCACAATAACATTTTTATTGCACATTTATATTCAGAGCATGCAAAAGTATTGCAGCATCTTGGTTTTGTCCCAACAATCACTCTAGGAGGTAGATACTCTATAAACACCCTACAGATGTGGATACTGAACCCCAGAGATACTAAGTCCCAGGAGGTTGGTAGCAGAGGCAGGACCAAAATCCTGTCCTCTTGTTCAAGTCAACCTTGATTTTAAACTACAGCAAAGTTGGCCCATACTTTCCAAAATCTCTCTTTTAAGGTTGGAAGAGAAGACAAGTCAGTGATGGAGAAACAGAACAGGCATGGGGAAATTTAGGGTCATCTAGGAACACTGAGGCTGGATCAGACTGGGAGTGTGGACAATAACAATGTAGACAGAGAAGAGCTGTTCAATCAAGCCATTTAGCCTGCAGGTTAAAAGACTTGGAACAGATTTACAGTGAGCCCGAGAACAAGTAATTTGTTTAGTGTTTCAGTGAATTGCTTCATTTGATTCTTCCATATACATATTAGGAAATTAAGCTTTTTCACTGCACAGTTAGGATTTTTAAAAAGGGTTGGCCAAGTGGCTCAGTTGGTTAAGAGCTTGCTCAAGAGTTTGAGTTCTGAGCAACAGGGTCCCTGGTTTGATTCATGGCCTGAGCTGAGCTGCTGCTGAGCTGCCTACAGTTGGCAGGATAGCTCAGGTAAAAAAAAAAAAAGACATAACAGGCAGTATTAGCATACTGGTAAAAAGTATTTTTTGATCACATATCTGAAATAATATCAGAAACTTTTTTGCTTGGTTAGAGACATGAAGTACAAAGCAAGAAACTGGAACTCTTGGGAGCTGGAGAAAGAAGAAGCAATGCTACTGAGTGGCTGAGGAGAGTAAAATGCAAGCTTTGTGAGGATAAGTTGGAATTCATCACAATTCTATTGCAGCTTACCTCTGTTTGCTTGTGTTCAAATTGAAACTGGGTGAAAAGACATTTTATGTCGTATACGACTGAAATTATATATTTTCTAACCACAAATATACGAAAAACTGCTTTTCGTATATTTGTGGTTAGAAAAGATATAATATTGGTATCATTGACCTTCAATAAATACATCTGTAAGGTAGATAATTGAAAGATGTTGCTAAAATTACTGCGAGCCCGGTTGACATTTAGGAAGCATGTGCTCTGCAAGAACATCAAACAGATGAATTTACCAAATCTGAGGTCAATACAGGAGATTGGTAACTTACTAAGACTTACCTTTGTGCCACAGGAAACACTGACTCATTAGCTAGAGATACCTTTTACTTGTAACACAGTTAGGATATAGGTTACTCATCTGTGATATGCCCAAGTCATTGCGTATGTAGGTAAAGTATAAGTCATACTTTGCAGAGGATGGGAAATTTGACTACTTTGCAGAGGATGGGAAATTTGACTGCTGTAGATGTTTGTTATGCTGTAGTTAAAAACAGATTAAAATATAATCATCAGGAGACAGCAAAGTAAAGGACAAGTGCTTTAGATTTGGGAGGGGTTTTAGTTTAGTCACTGAGTTATAAGGCTCAGTGCATACCGGTAGAATCAGAGAGCTTTATATGTAGATGGGCAGCACCATGGATAGTTCCTTTGGCAGCTCAAGTGATTGGCCAACCTGTGATTGGGGTGAGGGTCCTCATTTACAAATTCCTAGGATTATGAATTTGAGTTTATCTTCACGCTAGTACAGTGGGTATTTAGGTGTATGTAGGCTTGATCTTTTAGTACTCATTCTCCCTAGACCTCCCTATCTCCCAAAACAACTTCCATAACTTTCTGCGTCTGATAATTTGTCTCCGTCTATCCATACATTTTCAATGTCTGTGCTGGTAGGGATTAAGTTTTTTAATCTGATTAACTATGGCTGCATCTTCCATTCCTGAGCACACTTGGTTTATTCCTCTGGATACTGGCTAAGGAGAAGCTCATTCTAATCCTCACAAGTAATGTTATTTTCTGGAGATTTCTTCTATTAATTAGTGGCAGGAAATTGCCCTAGGTCAGGGTTTATGAATCTTCTATGAGGAAGCTACTAGAAGTGTTGGAATGGGATTGCCTAATGAGGTGATGTCTTTCGTGCAGAAGCAGAGAATTAGCATGTTCTTGGGTCCAGGAATACGTATTTTCTCTGTGTCCCCTCTACCCACTATATTTTCTCCTGTGAAATTACTTTAGAAATGGCTGCTTCTAGAGAGAGAGGATAAATCCTAGAATTCAACATGTGCTTTGTCATGTTAAAAAAAGAAAATAATTAGATATGGTTGATATTAATTCTAAATTTTAGTTATGGGTAGCATTAAAATAGGTCTGACCTGAGAACTAAGTAAACATTTTTGTCCTAATTCATAACAAAGTCCTGACATATGAAATTTTAAAGCACAATTTATTTGTAACTACAGGGCTATCTACACATGCTTTTTCTGATACTGCCAAATTGCTGACAATAAATATTGGCCTAATTGAATGATAATCAGCACAATATATACATTACATACTAATTTTACACCTTTTAAAAATGCCTACTTTGTGAGTAGGTAAAAATTTCAGTTTTTATGGAAGTAAGAAACAATACCTGATGTAAGTACCTAATGAATGATTTTAAATTGAACTTACTCTATTTTTATATATGACTTTAGTGAGAAAATGACTGGAACATTTATGATGTCGTAAACAGCGGGAACATTTCCCTGATGGGATGGTTTTGTGAAGTTGCGTGAAATACATGGTGTCTGCTGAGGTCATCTCATTTGGAAAGGGACATTGTAGCATCACACTCACCCATACACGCAGTGGGCAGCAGACACCAGCCAGTTGTTGCTGACGAGAGAAGCACCACAGAGCAGTTTGCCATTATAATACAGAGCAGCAAGCCAGGGCCAGGCTCCTTCTTTGGCGTTATTTCCTCCAACAATCTTTGGGCTGACTTTCGAAGCCACCAGTTTTTTTCCACATGCTTTTAACATAATTGAAGAAAGAGCATTTATTTTATTTTGGTGGATTTGCCCTCTGATATGAAAATTGAGTGGATCACTACAAAGGAACTTCAGGTGACATACCAACAAAATAACTTCAGGTGACATAAAACTCTATTCGGAATTTTAAACTGAAGGCTTGGAGGAAAACATGACAAAATATTTACTTACGTTTACGATTACATTGTAAAAGAATCAGGGAATCCTGTAAACACTGTTTACTGCAATAGAAGAACAGTTATATTTCAGAAATTGTGCACCTAACATTTTAAAGCAAAATGTAATGTAGGTTAGCCTACCTTTTTTTAGTAAAATGGACTTTTAAATGTAAGTATCATATATGAAGTGCGAGGAAGCTGAAACGCACAGCAGAAAAATCCTTAGTTTAAAGTCAATTGAGCTGAGTTTGCATCCTTAATTCTACCAGGTACACTTCATGTGAGTTTGGCTAAGTTGCTCAATATCCCTGAGGCTCACTTTTGTCATCCATAAAATGGGGACAATAGCACTTGCTTTATTGGAATTTTTGATAAATAAAAAATATTTTCAGTGGCATTATTATTGTGACTTACACACAATGAGCCCTCAATAAATCAGAGCTATGGTTATTTTGCTTGAACTAACCTTGGTTTTCATCATTCTATAATACAGAATATGTCTCAGTATTCCTAATCAGACAACTATTCAATGCCTTTGTGTGTGAGGCTGTGAACTTCATTTGAGGGAATTCAATGATGAATGAATCACAGATACTGCTTTCAAGGGAGGTAAACAGTTAACAAATCAAATGTACAATAAAATCTAGGCATAAATAATATAAAGACTCACTACCTGTTTAAATATTTGGATACTAACTTTTTTCAAAGCCAAGAATTCTATTTTAAACAAAAATTTAAAGTTTTAAAATGTTTTATACTTACCAACCATTAGAGGTCAGTATAACACAAGGAATTAAAGTATGTACTTGCCCACACTTTCCTGATGCAGACACTGCAGATGTTGGTCACATTAAAACACACAGGGACACACATATCATTTTAATGGTTTCTGTTTACCTATTTAACTACATCTATTGTGCATGTTGTTTCACTGCTTTAAATTTTAGGGAAAAAACCAAAACAAAACACAAACAAGATCCATTTGAGATTATAAATACAATTAAAGCAATTTAGTGTTTGTGGAAAATACGTGATAAGGTTAATTGAAATCACTTGCTTTAATGTGGTCTGATTGACATATCCTTTGGAGTAGAAGATAATTTCATTTGCAATATATACTTATATCTTATCAATAAGCAATGTGCATGTATGTATATCTATCTAGATGTAGTTATATCAACATGTACTCATAACTCCTCAAAGAAAAAGTCTCAATTAACTCCCCTTCTAATATCTACTCATGGCTGAGAGAGAAATAATTTCTAGGATCTGTGTAGTTTCATCCAAAGTCTTTCTACAGCTATCATACTAATCTATGAAAATTTATATTTAAAATGGTTCCTCATTCTTAGGTACTAAACAATGCTTTATACTCTGTGGTATGTATAAAACTTAAGAATTTCCTTTTAGTAAGCACAGAAAAGTTTTAATAACTATTAAGCTTATCAAAAACTTAAACTGATCTTTGCCCCTTGTTCTTCGTGCATTTTTTAGTTTGTCAAAAATGTAGCGCACAAACACATGCATGCAGAGTCTCAATACAGAGGAGCAAGTTACTTAACCTCTGGTCAGCATGAGCAGCGAATCCACTCTTTGTCCTGGTATATTTAGAGATTGGAGAGAAATAAAATGACTGTCCTGGCCTTGGTGCTGGAGTCCGAGCTGGGTTAGCCCTCCGGACGGAAAGGAGGACAATGGCGTGGTCCTGTGTCTTTCTCTCAGCGTAGTGGACAATACTGTGATATATATAATAAGTGGGTGGGTCTATATCTGTTGTATTGACAAAGTGAACTAATTTCTCTACTAATATATGCCCAACAACATGGCCTTTTTTCTTGTTGAAAAGGCTATGCTAGTTGTCTCTCTTTCCCAGAACTGCTTTTCAAAGTGGGCTGTTGCCTTGGGGAATGTAGAAGATAGCACAGGGCTTTGGAGTCAGACTGACTTGGACTAGAATCTATGTTGCCTGCAGGCTTTGTCCAAGTCAGTTTCCAACACCGGGCTCCTGTTCCCTCTCCTTCCAGTGGAGCGATACTACGTCATAGAGCTTTTGCATGGACTGGAAATAACCTCTATAATATCCCTACCACAGTGTCTGTCACATGATAGGCATTCAATAAAGTGTTTGACAAGCACTTTGTATCCTGTACCTAGCACCATGCTTATAACACTATGTTGGTCAATATATATTTTGTCAATTTTTCCTTGACTTCTAGGACTGCTATTGAAGTGGTCTGAAGAACTGGAAGGAAGGGAAACCCAGTACTGGCAGCTGCATGAATCGTGCATTTCTAGGTATAACAGTTCAGATTGTTGGTATCGCGTTGCAGGGCCTTTCCCCTGTGGTCTGCGTCTTGCATACGCCTCCCAGAGGGAGAAAAAAATGGGGATAGGTCAGTGGATTTTCATAGTTGGAGGAATTATCTTCCTTGATATCTGCTTCTTTTTCTTAGTTTTTATTATTATCACTAGTGCAAAGCTGTTTTCATAAGCAACAGTTTTCACAGGGCAAAAATTATTATTGTAATAATCTCTGCCATGAATAAATCCTTTGGTACTAAAAATACTCCTTCATCAATTTGTTTTACTGGTTGAGCTCAAAGAAATGGTAATGTTTCATGGATGGCTGAATACTTATATAATTCCACTTTCACCATTAAGTGTGTTAAAGGAAAAACTACAAGCTCATGCACCAGCAATGACTTCTTAAATCCTTGTCTGCAGTTATGGCTGCTTCTGGCAATTACTTTCTTCCTACCCACAGCTGGCCTTGAATGGAACTGTAAGATTCAGAAGTCAATTTCAACAAAAATTACCATTTATGCTTAGACCAGAGAAATGACATAAACGAAGCTGAAACAAACCTTTGAATAGAAAAAATGTGCTGTTTGTTAAAACATTAGTAAAAGCTATAAAAGTGAACCTAATTTTAAAGAATGAAAGAGAATATGAAGGCACAACTAGAAGTCTGGACTCCTTCACTTAATAGTAATGCTCTATTTGCTGAGGCAGAGAAAAGATTCTGTCCGAACTCTCACAATTTCTTTAAATGGGATTTACTTGTTTAGGAATCTGAGGGTAAGGATGAAAAGGATATGGAATTAAGACTTACTGAATCACTGTAAGTATGTTAAACAATTACATATACAACATCTCATTTGACTGTTTTACCGTTTATGTGGGGGTTAGGCAATGTGATCAGATAGGATCAATTAGGGACTGTTTCAGATTACCTGTAGAGTAAAAAAGCTAACTTATAATACTTTCAAGATTATATGTGTTAAATTTTATGTTAAATTACTTTCAAGGCTAGTATGTGGTGGAATTAAAATCTGGCTGGTATAAAAATCTATCTTCTTTTCAGTCCATGTACAGCTAGTCTGAGAACAAATTTGGGACCCACCTTGGTGTTAATGTTAAACTGCCATTAGGTGCTGTGTTTAATGTTACAAATGGTCCACCTTCAGTAGAGGGGACTGGCATTGACGCGTTTCCACTCCTATGGGAAAAAAAACAAAACACATACAGACATAGACAAAACAAAAACACAAATAAAAATACATAACTAAACGTCTAGTTACACATTAAAGCTGTGTACATTGGTAGAAATTATGGAATACCATACAAAGAAATTAACATTTTAATATAAAACTTCAAATGTTTTGCTATCTAAAAGATTGTACAAATTAGTAGAAAAATCACCATATATAACATAAATATAATTTTAATTTTTGCTTAATACCTCTAGCTCTTGTTTGTGTTCTAACATATTACTTAACAAAGTTAAAATCAGTGCATATAACTTGGGTGTCTGGTTTTTTCATTTAACTTATATATATTGTCCAATAGTTTCCATAAAGATCAATATTAACGACAACCTCACAGAACTACTCATAATTTATTAAACTTTATTCCTGTTGAATGTAATTCATCTTTTCAAAAATGTGTGTTGTCTAAGAATAACCTAGAAAAATGAATCTTCTATGTTTGCTTTTCAAATGTTGCTTTGTTCTTCATATTTCATTCAATTTAAAACCTAAGAGGCCTTAATTTAAAGCTACAAGCTATAAGATTGCTCTGAAAAAGGAATTAGTTAGTATGGACCTCCAAGTGTCAACTAGTGAGCCAGAATGGGATGGAGAGACACCCTGATGTGACAAAAGCCATTAAGTCCCTATTCTTTCTTTTCCTTGAAAACATGTTACATCCATGCTCTCAACTGTGAGTCTTAATTGAAGATTTCTCTCAATTAGCCTGACTCTCTTCCCTAGGCTCTGTCGGCTTCTTAACTCCTAATTTTGTTTCCTGCCTTTTATTTATTCCAGATTTTAGTTTTTTTTATACAAGAGTGTGCCTTTCTGCTAGAAACATCTTGATCCCTGCTATCTTCTACTGCTTACAGGGAGATGATGTGGTTCCTGTCTTTTTGAGCAGCTTGATGGACCCACCCACTGCCTTTTCAAAAGAAGGTTCAATGTCTTTTCCAGATTAAGCCAATAATCACCCTTTTCTATCAGTGTATAGGGAATTTCCAAGGAACACATATAGCTGTTATGATCAATAAGGGGAAAAGAAATCCTTGATAGAGGGGTGTTTCCTCTCTCTTTCAGGTGAGACAATACCTTAAAGAAACTGAAGAGTGCCCTGCACCTCTCCTCACTGGAGCAGTGGAGTCTATATTTAATGTCTCAGAGTTTAGCATCTTGTACTTGTTTTGTGTCATTTGAAATACTGGATTTTATTTTATTGCAGATTTTGTCAAGGTTTTTCAATCAAAGATTAATACTGCATTTAATGTTTAAAAGTTGATTTAACGATTAGTAATGTGAGTTGTGTGTAAAATGCTTGAGCTTTAAGCCACATTGTGGAGTTGAAATCCTGGCTCTAGTAGCTGCACAAATGGACAAGTTCTCAGTCATTATGTTCTTTTGTTACCTCACTTCTCGATGGAGATACAATGATTATTCTAACCTTAGAGGGTTGTTGTGAGGATTAAATGGCACGAAACATACGAAGCCCTTAGATCAGTGAGTAAGTGTTCACTAAATGTTGCGGATATTGTTATTTGAATCTCATCCTTTTTAATATCATTTTAGTTATATAAAATTTCTCACTCTTTTAACGTTTTTTTGTTTTGGTTGCTTGTTTTTTTTAATTAAAAACTATTTTTTCTTTTTACATTTTGCACTTTTACTTATTTAATTTTAAAGGTTTTTATTAAAATATAGCTAATATAAAATATTATATTAGTCTCAGGTATACAACATAGTTATTCAACATTAATATAGCTAACGCAGTGATGATCACCATCTTAAGTCCTACAACCATCTGACACTGTACCACACTATCACAATATTATTGACTATATTTCCTATGCTGTACATTACATCCCCATGACTTATTTTATATATGGAAATTTGAACCTTGATTTGAACCCTTTTATCTTCCCCACACTGTTTTTAATTATCAATTGCAGTTAACATTCCATATTATTTTATATTAATTTCAGGTGTACGGCATACTGCTTAGACATTTATATAATTTAAGAAGTGATCTCCCTTTTAATGTAGACTAATATAGTGCCCACCTGGCACTATACATAGTTATTACCATATTATTGACTAGTTTCCATATGCTTTACATTCCCATGACTATTTTGTAACTACCTATTTGTACTTCTTAATCCCTTCACATTGTTCACCCTGCACCCAACCCTTCTCCATTCTGGCAACCATCAAATGTTCTTTGTATCTATGGGTTTGTTTGTTTGCTTATTTTGTTCCTAGATTCCAAATGTAAGCAAAATCACATTGCATCTGTCTTTTGCTGTCTGACATACTCCACTCAGCACAATACCCTCCAGGTCCGTCCATGCTGCCACAGATGGCAAGAACCCATTCCCTTCCATGGCCAAGCAATATGCTATTGTATATATGTACCACCTCCTCTTTATCTACTCTTCCATCCACAGACACCCAGGCTGCCTCCACATTTTGGCCACTGTAAACGCTGCTGCAATGAACAGAGGGATGCACATGTTCCTACGAAGTAACGTTTGGATTTCTGCAGATAAATACTAAGAAGTGGGATTACTGGGTCCTTCTTTTTCTCTTGTTACAGCTTTTGTTTTAAAGTATACTCTGTCTAGTATAAATATTGCTATCCCAGCTTTAAAAAATTTTTTTCGTTTCCATTTTCATTAAATATCTTTTTCCATCCCTTTATTTTCAGTCTGTGTGTGTCTTTTGATCTGAAGTAAGTCTCTTATAGGCAGCATATGTAAAGATTTTGTTTTCTTATCCATTCAGCCACCCTATCTTCTGATTGGAGCATTTAATCCATTTACATTTAAAGTAATTTTTGATAGATATGTACTTATTGCCATTTTACTATTTATTTATTTACTTATTGTTTATTTCTTAAAGACGTCCCTCTAAAATTCCTTGTAATACTGGTTTGGTGGTAATGATCTCCTTTAGCTTTTCTTATCTGGGAAGCTCTTTATCTGTTCTTCGATTCTAAATGATTGTTTTGTTGGGCGGAATAACCTTGGTTGTAGGTCCTTGCTTTTCATCACTTTGAACATTTTGTGCCAATCCCTTCTGGCTTCAAAGTCTCTGCTGAGAAATCAGCTGACTGTCTTATGGGATCTCCCTTGTAGGTAAGTAACTGCTTTTCTTTTACTGCTTTTAAGATTCTTTCTTTGTCTTTAAACTTTGGCATTTTAATTTTGATGTGTCTTGATGTGAGTCTCTTTGGGTTCATGTGTCTATTTCCTTTGCCAGATGAGGAAAGTTTTTCATCATTATTTCTTCAAATAGGTTTTCAATTCCTTGCTCTCTCTTTTCTCCTTCTGGTTACCCCTATGATGCAAATGTTGGTACACTTGATGTTGTCCCAGAGGCCCCTCTCCTCATTTTTTTTTTTGGATTCTGTTTTCTTTTTGCTGTTCTCTTTGGGTGTTTTCTGCTTCGTTCTCTTCTAAATCGCTGATTCGATCCTCTGCTTCATCTAATGTACTACTGATTCCCTCTAATTTCTTCATTTCAGTTATTACATTCTTTATTTCCGACTGCTTCTTTTTTGTTTGCTATCTCCATTTATATGTTTCCTATCTCTTTGTTGAAGATCTCCCTGAGATCACTGAACATCCTTCTAACCAGTGTTTTGAACTCTGTGTCTGGTAGATTGCTTGTCTCCATTTTGTTTAGTTCTTTTTCTGGAGCTTTGCTCTGTTCTTTCATATGGGACAGTTTCTTTGTCTCCCCATTTTGGCTGCTTCCCTGTGTTTGTTTTTATGTATTAGCTAGGGCTCTACATCACTCAGTTTTAAAAGAGTGGCCTTATGTAGTAGGTGTGCTGTGGAGCCCAGTGGTACTTTCTCCCTGCTCACCTGAGCCAGGTGCTCCAGGTGTGTCCCTTGTATGGGTTGTGTGTGTCCTTCTGTTGTAGTTGAGGCATGGCTGCTGTCTGCACATCAGTGGGAGAGATTGCCCTGAGGCTGATTGGTTGTGAGGACTGGCCATAACTATACTGAAGGAGCTAGTGTATGGTGGCTGACCCTACAGAGCAGGGTTCAATTTACAGGACTCTGGTGTCTTCCCAGTCTGCCCTTTAGGTGTGTCATCCTTGGAGGCAGTCAGTTTATGCTCCATCTTGGTTGGAAGTTGGCCACTGGGCCTGGTAGCCCTGGAACCTCCTGGAAGGGGCCTTACTACAGGCTAAATTCAGCCACAGCCTGTTCACTGTCAAGGGCCAGCTGGCATGAGCCAGAAAATAATCTGAAAATGCCCGTCACCTGTGTAGGGCTTGGAGTTGCCTTGAGGCCAAGCTTTGAACTGAGGCCAGCTGTTGCTAATGCCAGCCAGGCTTAGGGCTGCTCAGCCAGAGGTATGGGACATGCCAAAGCCATTTGCTGCTTGTTTGGGCTATGTGAACCTTTGAGAGATGTTAGGAAAGTCCATAGCATGAGCCAAGACAGGCAGTTTGTAGGAAAAGCCACTGGAAGCAGCTTGGGTGGGCCTGAAAATTAGAATGGGCAGGGTCTCAGGGAATGAGCAGGGTGGGGCAATTGATTGAGACTCACAAATAGCTTCCACCTGCATCTGCACGCAGACAGTGGGAGGGCCTAACAAAGAAGCTATGGCTTCCACCAGTTCCTCCGTCCAGGAGAAAGTTGCCACTCCAGCCCTTGTTCTGAGGCCAGATAACTCAGTTCCTCCCTGTATGTTCCTGTCGCATTTCCAGCTGCTGCCCAGCTGCTGCCCCAGTGCTGGAGCTCAGAGCGAGTGATGCCGTTGGTGAGTAAGTTCATGTGCAGCCCTCCATCTCACTCAGCCACAATCCCCACTGGTTTTCACAACCAGAAGTTATGGGGACTTCTGTCTCCCACAGTGGAACCCTGGGTTGGGGAGGTTGGTGTGGGTCTGGGATCCTTTGCTCCTCAGGGAGTGGGGGAGTGAGGGGAACCTCTGCGGCTGAGCTATCCCTCCTGATTTT